CATTATTACTAAATCTGTCCATACCATATAACCATACAGTTGCAATAAGTTCACATAAAACAATAAACATTATTGATGGTGATGTCCCAAAAAAATCCATAAAATGAACAACATATTTTCCACCGTATGTTAATGTTGGTATTGATGCTAAAAATGGAACTAATACAACACATGCACGTGATAAACGTGGACGACGAGCTAATATTGGAAATTCATCAGATATTGCTGTATAAACACTTTCAGCACCGGCAAATACACTATCAAGTCCTAATGTTAGAAGCATGATAAAAAAAAGGACGGAAAAAAATGGTGCACCACGTATTGATGTTAAAATTTCTGGATAAACAACAAAAACAAGACCCATATTACTTTCAGTAAACTGTCGTACATCAGCATGTAATCGATATGATAAATAACCCAAACCAGCAAAAACAACTGTACCATATAATAAACTAGTAGAACAATTAACTAAACTAGCTATTAAAGCTGTACCAGATACATTGTCATGCATATTACTAAAACTTGCATAACTAAGTAGAACACCAAAACCAGGTCCTAAACTAAAAAATATTTGTACAGCAGCTGCTTGCCATACTGAATATTCATCTAAGCGTTCAAATGATGGCGCTACATAATATTTTAAACCTTCAAATATTCCATCAAGTGTTAATGAACGTAATAATAAGATACTCAAAACGGCATAAGGTATTAATGCTGTAAACCATATTGCTTTACCAGCTGTTTTAACACCTTTAAAGATTGATAAATAAATAAGAAGAAAAACAATCATTGAACATCCAACTAATTCCCATTGTAATGAACCTAGTTGATTAATACTTGGTGATAAATGAGATTTAAGCATACGTCGTTCAAAATATTCATCTGCTGATGAACATGATGCATTATGTGGAACACTCAATGTTCGTTTATCATGTATAGAATAACATAATGGCGTATTCCATTCATTATTACAAAATGTCCATGGTACAATAGCACGAAATGATGCTATCCCATAATGAACCGACCATGCAATAATTGTATTGTAATATGATAAAACATATAAATTAATAATTAACATTGAATAGCCAATACCTTTTAATGGTGGACATATTTTATCCCATATTGTTATATAACCGAGACGATGATATTGTCCAATAGCCAATTCCAAATACATACCTTTTTAGAAAAAGAACCGAAGAATTTCAACAATCTACCTAAAGAATTAGCTTACAAGGAAGGCCAACAAGAAATAAGAATGTAAAATAGGGAATAAGAAAAGCACCACCACCATTTCGGTAACACGTTGTTGGAAAACGCCATACATTGCCTATCAAGAAGTAGAAATTCAAATTCCTATTAAATCCTTTGTATACAAGCAACGCAAATTTGAACTATCTAAAAAGGCTATTATTTGTTTCTGTATTTCTTATTATCGATTTGAGAAAACTCAAGCTGTCTCATTTGACATATGACACTAGATGATTATTTTTCTATATTTTAAAATTTTAAGCTATATTTATATACCAAGTATATGAGTTAAGTTGGAAAAACACAAGAACAATATTTTTTTCTTACACATCATTAATATAATCATGTAGAATGCAAAGTTATAAAATTATAAACAGAATACTCGCTGTTAGTTTTGGTTAATTATTCTTCTATATTCAAATTAAATCTGTTTTTTAATCTACGAAATAAAGATAGAATATTATTTTCAATCCAGTCAAAGTTTATATATCATAATTCAAATATTAAATATTTATTCCAATGAAATACATCAATGTTTAAGTTTTAGATATTTTTTAAAGCGGTTTGATAGAACTTTCTTTTTCGTTTCAAAAATCATTCTGTATACTTAAAAGGTTAAGAAAAAGAAAACTTTACCGAGATCAACAACAAAACCAATAATCGATAGTAGATAAACAATACGATTACTCCAATTGTCACGTTCACCTTGTTTAATTATTTTATTTTTCGTTGCAACTATTGATGTTGTTGTTGAAACAAGCATATTATTTGCTTCTAATTGATGGCGATCTTGTGAAACGACCATTGGTACATATTGTTGATCACTTTTATTCGTCGACATGTATCTATCTTATGTAGATTTAACCAGGATTGTTATTGATTTGTTTCATGATCGATGATACTTCTAGAAAAAATATATTTTTTTTACTAAGCATATAGATCTGTCATTCAAGAACGACCTTATCTAGATTTGTGTACATATATTTTTTTTTCTATCCGCTTTTCTTTATACTAAGGATAACAATGTATAAGAAATATGTTAGATTTCAATAAATAAAGATATATGTATTCTTTTTGTTGAACTATAAACTTTGATTCAAATAAACTTTAGATCTATCTGACAAGTTTAACCTTTTCAATGATAGAGTATTTGAAAAGGTTGCTCATATAGTATATTTTTTGTTATCTTATAACGACAAACATAAGAGAACAAATAATATATACACAAAGATATCGTCGACAAAGAGCTACCGTAATTCTTTTGATATAAAAAAGAAGAGTCTATCTTATATATATATATATATATATATATACTTTTTCTTTCATTTTATCAAGTACGAGAAAATGTTAGATCTATTATTATGATTATTATTATCTTCGTCAATTATATCGTATTACATTTTTGTTACGATCTAAATGACTTAATCTGTTTTTTCTGTCTTTTAATTATTTATCTAACTATAAAAACTTAAATCATAACCTTCTTCTTTAACTACCTGTCTCATCAAATTTGATATAATGCGTGTCAAATAATATGTCATCGATATATTGAATAGCTATGTCTACTGTCAAGAATTTTTCTGAGCAACTTAACGTAGGAGTATGTCTGTCCATATCTCAAATCTCAATATGTTGTTTCTGACGTTCTACAATGATCGATCCATTAATTGAATGTATACTATCTATACAACAGACACATTGACTGCATCTTATATTCTTACAATATACACAAACGGGCATATTCTACTTTTATAACTGATAGGAAAGAAAATAATTATTTATCTATGACGATTTCCGTAAGAAAAAAAAACCATTCATCATCTTTTGAAAATCGTATGTCGACTTAACTAATAAGATTTATTCAATTGATATTTAATAATATAGAACATTGTTTTTCTTTAAGTATAAAAAACTAAATGAATTTTGACTTACATTAATTTTCATTATAAGATCTAAAGTTATTTTTGATTAATAATGAATGATAACCTCACTGCATGAATTTTCTCTTAATTTGATAAACAGCAGGAAATTTTATTATTATTTTTTTTTTGCTCGTTCTTCTCTTCATCTACGCATAACGGAACCGTGGGTGTTGTGTACTTATGCACTAATATGAATCAGTATCAAGTTTTTTTTTTAATTAATCCAAAGCAAAAGAAAAGACGAAGAAGAAGAGATACAAGATATGAAACAATCAGACTTTTTTTCTAGCCAATTTCTTTAATGTTATCAAATACCAATCGGAAATGATGGAGATAGATTGATCTACGTAAAACAAATTTATGCTTTGCGAGGAAAGTTCTCCAACTTATAAATCGCTGTTGAGTCCAAACTATGTGCATTGTATAGACTCCAATGAACTATAAACAATTCTAAAAATAGTTCTTGTTTGTCGCTTTTTGCTACAGAGATACTATACTTTTATGGTACTGTTTTAGATGAGTGTCTTGGTAACAGAAAGATTGATTTTTGAATTTCGACTTGAAACTTTTTACAAAGACATGTCTTGACGAAAGCAGTTTATTGTGAATGTTTCAGATTTTGTTGCTGTTCCTATTCTAAGATACAACGATGGTAAATAGTGACAAGATCAGAAACATTCACGATATACTACTCTCGTTAAGACGTGTCTCTATACAAAGTTTCAAGTTAAAATTCGAAAATCATTTTTTCAGTTAATCTTGACAAGCACTGTAGCGTTTATCTTAAAAACTGCTGTAGAAGTGCAGTATCTTCATAGCAATAAGTAAAAGCATGAATCCTTTTCAGGATAGTCATTGCTCATTCGAATCTCTAAAATGAATATAGTCTCGATTCAACAGCGATTTATCAGCTGAAGAACTTCTCTCGTTAGTTATACTTAGCCAAACAAATTGCATAAATTTAACTGTAGTGGAAATCTATTTGAAAAACTTATTGTTGAACTGTACATGTAAATACACTATAAATTGAAGAAAGCTATTAGCCTAATCCCTGCGAAATAAAAAAATGTGAAACAAGATGTAACTGCTGTTGCTAATCAAAGGGAGATTGTTTTATTCTGTCTATCTTAAGACACATTTCTTTGCCCTCCTTTTTTGCTTAACCTTCCAGAAACACAATCAGGAAGTAGTTAATATATTGTACGAGGCGTTATTGATACATGATCACAGATCGTATATTAATAAAGTCTGTCACAGTCTTTGGGGAAGGAAGGCGATGCAAATTTCTACTCTATATTCTTCAACACTCCTTTTAGAACGTGTTCCACAAAACTCATTCAATTGTTTTTATAATGAAATCCTTATTTATATTTTTTCAATCAGATATTTCGTTCATAATGAATTATTCTATAAAGTTATCCAAGCAAATGATAAATTAAATATCTAGGCTTTATAATAGCTATGAAATCTATCAGCTAATTAATATAGTTGAAGATGAATTTATTCTTGATTATCTTTTCTTTTTATTTTGAAAGAAAGGAAAAAAAAGAAAAAGAAATAGCATGAACGATAGTATTCTAGAAAGTAAAAGAAAAACGAAATGTTTTAAAACGAACAATAAACAATACAATAAACAACACATAAAAACGATGACAAAGAAGAAAATTGATTCTTCTAATTTGTATGCGACAAATTAAAAAGAAAAGAATTAAGTAAACGAATGAATGGCAATTAATAAACATAGTTGTCTATATGCTATGTTAATAAACAAAACATAACATGTACGATAAAATGTTCATATGACAGTAACACCAACACGATTAGAAATATTTAATATTGACCAATACCACTACCACTAAGACCTATACCGGAACCCGATCCATAACTAGCTGTTGAAGCCGATCTTACAATACCACTTGTACTTGCTCGTTGACGAAGTTCATGATACATTTGTTGCTCAACTTCTTCGCTTTTATGAACTATTTCAAATGCTGGACGACCATAACGACGCATTAATGTTGATTGATCCGTTTTTTGCCAGCAAGGATTAACAGCTGTATCAAGCACTTCGATTTGTGTTGGACCATGAGGAGGTATACCTGAAATTTGAGCTGTTTGTTCGAACGTTTGTCGAAGAATATCTTGATTATGTTGACCAACATTAAGACCTGCATTTGCTCCAACTAAATTCGTATATGAACCATGAAAACTACGACCACTACCACTACCAAGACCACCTTGTTGTAATTCAAGATGAGAAGCCGATTGACTATGTTGATATTGATTTGGAACATTTATATTAACAACTGAACCTTCTGTTTGATAGATATTTCCAGCTTCATGTGTTGAACCAGCTGCATATTGTTGTCCTTGTTGTGCAGCTAAATAATCATTATTAATACCAGTAGTAAATGAGCCACCTGTTCCAGCTAAATCCGTATATGATCCATGAAAAGTTTTACAAATGCCTGGTTGCCCTTCAAATTGAGAAGCCGAATGACTACGTTGATATTGATTTGGAACATTTACATTAATAATTGGTGGTTGTCTTTGAAAAATATTCGATGCTTCATGAGTTGAACTAGATGCATATTGATGCTCTTGTTGTGTAGGCATATAACCATAATTAACACCACCAGCAAATTCCGGACAACGACCTCCATAAGCAACAGGTAAATTATCTCGATAAACATATTCTTCTCGAACAACTTTTGAACCACCAGCTTGTGCTTCTGCTTGGCCTCCACTACGTACTGGTACAGGAATAGGTCGTTCACGATCTATAATAATTGGTCGTTGTGTAACGGGTACTGGACGATCAACAAGTACAGGTCGAGCAACATGTATTACTTGAGGACGTACAATGACACCTAGAGAATACAAAAAAAAATCAGAATGATTATTTTTATTTTTGTGAATAAAGAAAAAAAAAGATAATTGATAACTTACGTTCACGTGGAACAAAAACAGGTTTAATAACAGGTACGTAAACATTACGTGGAACATAAACAACATTAGGTGCACTAGTTGTTGTTGGTTGTTGAATACTTGGAATAGGCCCAATTTGAGGTGCAATTTCTGTTTTTATTGTGCCACTAGCTATAGAAAAAAACGAAATTATAAAAATAGGACGAAATTTATGTTCTTACTTTGCCGAGGCATGTAAAAGACAGGTTGAATTGGTTGTACAATAACTCGAACTTCGCCAGCTGTTTCGTGTCGTTTTTCATGTTCTATTCGAGTTTCACCTCCTGTACTTGGATGAATTTGAGTTTGTGTACCACCGTCACGTCCAGTCCATTGTATTTCAGTAGATCCTGATGATGCGCGTGGTACTATACGTCTATAAATTTTTATAAAAGAAAACAAAAACACAAAAATTAGTACGAAAAGTTGAATATATATATATATGTAGACACTTTACTCGATAGCTGAAAGAATTTCACTACGGAATCGCTCGAAATCAAATGATGGACCTGTTGTTGGAGTTCGTGAACGGTGATGCGACCGAGACCGAGATCGAGATCTAGAACGTGATTTTTCACGTTTTTCAGACTTTAAAACAATTTTTTTTTAAATAAATTAAACAATATTTAAAAGTTATTACTTTTGCTCGTCTTTGCCAAACTTCAATAATTGTTGGACGACCAGAAACACGTTCCGTCACTTTTTCACCGTGACTAAATATAGAATGTAAAAACCGATTCTCTACCGAATATCAATCAATTATAACTTACAATTGTTCGACAATACCAGTACTAGTGTGTTTTTTATATCCACTTGTAAAACCACTTCCACCTGATGTACTGACACCAGTAGTACTTGGTGCAAAAATATAATCAGCAACTAATTGACATTGAGATGAAAAAGGAACACCTGTTCCTGAACTGCCATATACACCACCTGAACCAGCTACTCCAAACGATCCAACTAATGAATAAATATCAAGAAGTATTGATAAAATAACAAAAAAATAATAATAATAAGACTAAACATGATACTGACCTGGACCAAAACTACTCATTCCTGTTTGAGTTCCACCAATAGCTCCTATCGTTTGTCCTGTGTATGATACTGTACCAGGCGGATTCGGTCCACCAGGAGCAGCTGTCAAAATTACTTGTTTCCATCCAGGTGGACAAGGACCAAAGCTTGAAGTTGGTGCAATAGGTTGGGATATTGGCATAGGTGGTGCAATAGATTGAGATATTGAAACAGGCGGTGCAAGAACCGTGCTTGGGCCATGAGATCGTGATCGAATTTCTCTATCAATACCTTGAACTTCAATTTTACCTTTGTATTCATAACCAACTGGTGGTTCTTGTCGATGTGGACTATGATCACCACGTTCGATAAAGATCAAATCCTCGTTAATATGACCATAACCATCAGAGCCAACTGCAGTATGACCTTGAGTTTGCCGCCATTGATGTGCTTGTCCAAAAATAGCATGTTCACCATGATGATGACGATGATGACGACGATGGCGACGACGAGGACCACCTTGTTCACCGGCCACTTCACCTTCAACTAATGGTACTGGTGAACGTGTTTGATGTCTTTCGTTATTCATTGCACTTGATGAACGTTGACCAATTAATTGTCTTCAATAGACAAAAAAACATTCATTAAATAAAATGGTCTTCTGATAAAACACATACTAATCAAACTTACTCAGGTGCTCCTTGTCCTTGATCACCATGAGCAGCAGTATTTACTGCTTCGGCAGTATGATGACGATGATGTCGATTGTGACGTCGATGTTGTCGTATTCCCTGGCCTACAGGACCACCACCTACGGGACCTTGACCAAAATGAACACCTGTATATTGATTAGGAAATCCAAAATTGCCAGCACCATATTGTTGTTGCTGCTGAAAACCAGGTGCACCACCAGCACCAAATCCAGTGACACCATATGGGACACCATAACCACCACCGAGAGGTATCTCATTGTCTACAAATGGATTACTTGTTAGTTTTAATTGAGATTTAAACTTTAATATTTACTCTGTAAAAAATGATGTTGACCATGATCTACTTTATGTATTGATTCATCACGGCTTACTGGTGATGCATCATTTTGACCTTTGTTCTTATGATGATGACGATGCTGATGGTGATGATGATGATATTGCATAGGCACTTGCTGTGCACCAAATCCAGGTACAAGAGGAATGGCGCCAGCATTAGCGAAGCGCGGATCAATCATTGCAAATATTCAAATATAAAATTAAATGAAAAGCACCAATAGTCCAAACACTGATCTACAACGAAAAAAAAACGAAGAAGCTTACCTATAGCTATTAAACTTTTCGTTTTTCGATTTTTTATATGCCCATATTGTATCGAACTTTTTCTGTCATACAATTATCGTACACTCGAGGTTAATGTTCGAAACTAAAATTTTGTGGTTTTTCATTCTGTTCTATGTTAATGTAAGTTGCATAAAACCAAACAGAAAAAAAAACTCATTTTATACACGCGTATATGGTTATTAATTTACAATCTCACACTCGGTCACACGCTTATGCACATAGACATGCGTAGATTGGTTGCTACAGATTGAGCACAACTACTATTATCACCACTAAGAAACAACAACGGCGACGATACTTTTCAACAATAGCAAATATATACACTACTTCATATTTATGTTCGTTTAAATTACATTGAAAAGAGAGAAAAGATGAAGAAAAAAAAATGAGTGTGTAGAGTAAAAAGCGACGACAACCAAATACCCATATCTTATGCTTCATCTCAAGCGTATCGTTTGTGATATGGCGAATATTAAATGAGCGAAGAAAATGACGAGAAAGAGAGAAATACAGAGACAGAGAGAGAGAGAGAGAGAAAGACATCAAGTGACGACACAGATAGATTAATGCTCCCTTCATTATAAACATGACCAATAAAAAAATAATTGAAAATTGCCAAAGTGTTTGTTTAAACACACCAGACTTTAACATAAGTTTCATTTATCATATACATTCATTTTAACATATCGGTAATTATTTTTCACATCGTGTCAACTAACTAATTTCATCTGACAATAACCGATATATTTTTGAAATGCGTATTGCTGAATAGCAAGGCTGTTTTTTCAAAAATAATAGATACCCTTGAAAAAACGAGTCTTTCAATATAGATATTTTTCTAGGATAACTATGTGACATCTGTCATGTAAGAAAAAAAATTGAATAAGTAAGTAATTATCATTACGAAAAATGTATATTAAAATACCTGTACAAAAGGAAATAAATACAAAACCAATAAATATAGTTATTGATTGATACTTTTTTCTTATTTATATACAGAGCACACTACAAAATAGTACAGATACTTTCCTACCTGTTTATTTAATTTTTATAATTACATCTAACGTTTTAAGAACTTATCATATTTTTAATGTGGAAAAAAGAAAAGATGATATTGATGACCTAACAGTCATACGATGATTGTTGATAAAAGAATGTTTTTAAATGAGTTTTGATAATATGATGAGTGGACTGTATATGCATTATATTTTTGTGATGTACATATACGGACTCATCTTGATGTTCGATATGAGTTGGTTAAACCACAAGAATATCTCCTTCTTCTCTTTTTTTTCTTCTTGGCGTATGTAGGATGCAGTCAACCATAACCGATCCTTGTCTGTCCTACATTTCTCTTTTTTTCTTTTGTTGCTTTTTTGAATGAACACCAACGAAATTGAAAGGTTAAAGTGAAGTAAAAGATAAAAATACATTTTGCGGTTAGATATATCTATGTGCAAACCAATCAACAGTATTACACCACAAATCATTGTACAATATAACTAAAAAGAAACTGAGAGTTAATTTTCAACATTCTATAATAGCTCTCTCTCTCTCTCTCTCTCTCTGTTGCAGTGTCTTGCATTTTGTGGCAATGATCAAGAAAAAAACCGAAGGATAAATACTATTTAGGCAAGGCTATTAGAATACATTGATATCGAAATAAAAATATATAATGAGCATCATCATTTATAGTTCAGGGATGGTTTGATTGATAGATAATGATAGTGCTAAAATATTTTTGTAAAATGTTAAAAAAATGAATATATTCATGTATATGTCTTTATTCTTTATCTTGATATTTTTTTAACACTGTTTATCGAATCGTTTATGGTTGCAACGGAAATATAAAAAAAAAGATAAAAGTTAAATGAAAATTATTGAAATAAAAAAAAAAGACTCAGAGAAAAGATTGGTCAATTACGTTATACGAAGACGACTTTCATCAGCAGCTTCTTGTACAACAGGATGATCAAAATAATCAACAGGCGGTTCAGTATACACATCTTCGAAATCATCTGTTTCGTCATCATCATCTTCATCATAATCTGGACTTTGAATATCATGTTGTTCATTAATAACAGGTTCCATTTGAAATGTTACACTTTGTTTTGGTACTTTTGTAACCGATGGTACAACTAATTGAATATCTAATTCACGTAAAACTTCAGCTACTTCTTGACTTGTCATACCAGCTATATCGGAGCCAGGTTTTAATTTATATTTTCGATGTTTTTCAAATAATTTTGTACTAGCTAATATTTCAATAAATGTACCCCAACGATGTAAAAGCATTGTAATAAATTGTATAATCATACATGATGCAAAAAATATCATAAATAATAAACCTAGTAATTGTACTTTTGTACCAGGTTGTCCAAATAATTGACCAATATCAATCATTAATTCAGTAAATTTTGTTGCAATATATTCAAATTGAAATTGTAAAATAATCCAAATAGCATTAAGCATAAAAAATGCAAAACCTGCATTATTTCTTAAATTCATTAAATCACTTTGTATACGTCGTTCTTCTTCAGCATCCTTATCAAGTGGTGTTAAATATTTTGATAAGAGTTGTTGCCAAAATGTTATTTCATCTGTACGAAGATAACCAATAACTGATTCGGACCCAAGCCACGATAATTCTGACCAATAAGGATTGATCATATTATTTCGAGATTTATTACATATTGATGTTGTTAATGTTGTATTTGATGAATAATTACCAGGTAAATCATTTTCACTTGGTACAATAAGTAAATCTGTATTAAGTGTTTTATGTATACTAATATCTAAAAAGAAGAATTTTAATCATATAGAATATAATGTGGAAATCTACTTATAAACAATTTCCTTTCTTGAAGAGCTTTAACTAACGATAAAGTCGATAAATCTATGAAGAAAACTAGGATTTTTAGTATTATAAGTTTTGTTTTTGCTTATCCTTGCATCTCAATATTGCAGATTATCAATCTTCTGCATTTGACTTTATCTATTCGAATCTCAAACTCTTATTAGACAAACTCATTACCGATAATATGAACGAGCTAAACATGAAATTTAATGTTTAACATCAAAGCAATTCTAATAGATGTCCTAAAATACGTTTTTAATTTTACCGTTTATTTTTTTTGCTTCGTGATTGGAATTTTCTCGATCAAGTTTGGTAATAATTTGTTGTAATAAAATTTCTTGTCGTTTAACTGTTGGTCGAAAAATATTTTCAATAACATCACCTATTTGATGAATAAATCCACGTTGTCCATCACTACTATTACCCCAAAGCATATCATTAAGAACATCTGTTGTTCGACGTTTTTTCGGATCTAAGTTTTAATAAAAAAAGAAAAACAAAATAAATTAATTAACTAATTATCATTACCTGCTGTAACAATTACTTTTTCGCCTGGTCTATTTGTTTTTTTCGTTTGTACAACTTCTACAGTTTCTCTTGTACCCCATGAAACAACATGTAAATTACATAAAGCATAAGTAACAAGTAGAAGATAACCACCAGGTATTGTTATAAGATAAAGAAAACCATGAATTAAATTAAACATTTCATTTGGATGAAGTAAACCAGTAACAATAAATGTTATAGCAACACTCGGTAAAAAAACTGCACTTGGATCTAAGAAACCTGATTTAAGAATTTGAGCAGCTGTTGCTACAAGTACCATAGACATAACCAATGCATAGATAGCTAAAATTTATTAATAAAATTTATTCGAAATCAAATTTTAAGCATCCTACCTGTCATAATAGCACCAATAGCAATTTGTGTATTTGATTTTGTTTTTAGACATACAAGTATATAGAAAAGTGCTGGTAAAATTGATATTGTATATGATTCAGCAATAGTTAATGTTGAAAAAACAGTACGTAATGCTGAAGCAATAGTTAATAAAATAGTTCCTGGTCCTAAAATAGTTGAGACAAACAGAACAGCTTGATAGAACATATATAATTTTGAAACATTTTCATTAACATATGTCGTATGTTTTGTATCTTTAAGTAAATCAATAATATTTGCCATTGTTGAAGGCATCCAACGACGACGTTGATTAAAAAATTCTTTAAATGATTCTGGTGCATGTGTAAAGGCATCAGATGCTGCACAATATTCAACACGATAACCTTGTTGAAGAAGAAGTGTTGTTAACCACCGATCTTCTCCTAAATTATTTAAAGATATTAAATAGAAAATTTATTAAATATAAAGGGCGAAGGAAGGGGATGATAACTGTTGAAATCTGCTCTCAATAGAATTGGTTATATAGTACTTATTTGTCCTATTCACAGATCGACTGAAATAGCCAAGGACCGTTACAGATACATCCAATTGGACTGTTGATAACAATCAACTCTTTTTAAGAGCTTCAAAATTGTATAAAAATATACAGAAAAAAAAACATTGGCTACACAATGAACTCTTAATTACGTTATTCTTGAGACAAGATTTTCTGTCCTTTTTCCTAGCGATTAGTAGATTTCGATAAGAAAATTACAGTTTGGATAACAATGAATATGATATTCTAAATCAGCATCCAGAAATGAATAGACTCATAGATATCTCAAATATATTACCAAAACTTTCTTTTCATCGAACAATTTGCCTCTAATATCTCTCTTAGAGTTGGATCAAAAAATGAGTTTCATCAAAAAGTTATTTCGACANGATGCGGGCCTCTGGAAAACCAGAATTTTCCAGAAAACTTAGCAAAAATTGACTTCAAAGCTTTTTTCCTCGAACATGTATCTCGTTAGTTTTGATAATCTATCTGTGCTGAAAATTTCAGCTTGATCGCTTGTACCATCTTCGAGAACCAGAAACAGTCAAAAAAGAGGGGGGGGGGGTACCCTTAATAACTTTTCTTCTTCCTTCTGATTATTTTCATTTCTTTGTTCAGTCTAGTAAAAAGTCTTATTCAAACACAACGATTTGCGACTTTTGATCTGTTTTATTCATGCAAAAAATAAGTTTTCTTGCTACTTCTCGAAGAATTTTCATATATATTTATAGTATGATAAGATGACTAGTCGAAGAATGTAAGTAAGTTTTCGATAGATATAATTGACTCGAGCAGATGTTTACATTCTCTTCATTGTATATCATTACTTTCTCGTTGATCATTCAATTGATCATAGATGTATGTTCAAATTAGTTCGGACACATGTTCATAAGCGATGCCAGTGTTTACATTGACAAAATATTTTTCTTCTCTCCGCCTTCTTTCTAGTTTGTTTTTTTCTAATAGTTGATGACCTTCATAGAAATATAATTTTCTCATATTTCTTTAGCGCATACTCGACTCAATGAAATATCTACCGTTCTAACTTGAAGATATATATATACAAGAGAAAGTGGAAGAAGAAGAGAAAAAGAAGAAGAAAAAGAAAAGAAGTAGAATCAGATTACTGTAATTCATCTACTCACATTCTTTTTCCACATCGAATGAGAAAATATAAGTTAGTCAAAAAATAAAAGACCATTTGTTTGACAGCAATTTTTTTTATGACCATATAAATCGTATTTATAATAGAGTCATTCAACGTCTATTGTTGTCGTTTCTATCTTATAATTGTACACATTATCTAAATGTAATTCATATTGAATCTAGATTATTAATTGTTAAACATATTAGATATATAGAATTATATTGTAAACTATTTCAATTGATGAAATGATTAAGACTATTTCAATTGATGAAAATATTTGGATATTAAGAAATTCATTTCATCATCATCATTATCATCATCATTGGATGACACAAGGTAAAAACAAAATAATTAAAAACATATGTTAAACATTGATGTAATCGATAAATCTAATATATTTATTATCATTAAATTAATTTCTATTTGTTTTGAGTTCATTTTTGTCTAGTAAGAGAAAATGAAACATGATATTTTTGAGTTACTTTCGACATAAATAACTTTTATGTCACATGCTTGATTGATTTGTCGACAGGCGGAAGTTCACTAAAATGCATTTACATAACAGAAAACCATTTTTATATAGTTAATGAGACGTCTACATCCGTCCGTCTGTTCTTTTCTTCATTCAAATATATAAACGAAATGAAGAATTTCATATGATATATCAATACTTTGACTCCATTAAAATCTAATGAGTAATTATCAATTCTAAACCAGCTGTAAACCGCTCTTTTTTTTTCTCTTCTATTATTAAAAAGAATGACCAATAGGTTTTTTTTTTCTAGTCATTTCACTTGAACATATTATACATTTAAATATGTAAGCAATGAATGAAAATTGGTTTAAGTAAACAAAAAAAAAACACAACAATTCTTATCGTTCATGGAATTATTCTTTTCCGTTTTTTTTTTCATATAGTATGTGGATTAGAGTAAGATGAGATTATTTGTTATCAGCTTGCTAAGAATGAAGAAATATGTCAACATATTTAGAAAACTCTTAACTAAGTTAAGAACAAGCTGAGTAAATTGTATAACTAGTTTGTTTTATCGTGATTATAACATCGACCATTTTAATTGATTATAATCAAAAAAGAAAGAAAAAAAAAGCAAGTGTGACAAATGCAATGAGCAAAAAAAAAAGAATAGGAAGAAAGAGAGAATTGAACCGTTGAGATGTATATGTATATATATATATATATGAGCAAACTGAGATAGAAAAAGGATAGATAAGAAATAACGTATAGTACAGTTATAAAAGGTTTCGAATTTTTATTTTTCTTCAATATCAATTATGTGTTCAACATTGTCTGATCGATTTTTTATAACACGATCTTTGGAAAATCTTTTCACACATCGACGAATGACATACAAATTGACAGGTAGAAAAGTAGTTTATTTTATATTTGAAACTTGTTTCTATTGTCAAACTTATTGAAAAAAATATTCATTTGACTGTATTATTCTTGAGAACAAATTTTTTTTCTTCAAATGCCATCATCATTATCATCGGATATTACATTTGCAATAAAAGAATGTATCGATCATTTCGATAATGTGAATTCTAAGTGTCATTTCTTTTTTTGTTCCTTCGGTGTAAGCACAATCAACATCTGTGTCATATGCTAGAATATAAAAAAAAATCTATTGTGTCATTGCTTTCAGTTTCATATTTGTCACCTTGAGATTGAGATCAAACATTTGATTGAATACACATGAGATAACGATCAATGTTGATATAGCTGTAACTAATAAAAAACTAGATTGATCAATCTATTGATTAATTGGCTTGAAACACTTTCTTGATATTTGTTTATTAGCAAAGCTTGAACATGACTTTCGAATAAACATATGTCTTGAATAGTTATGCTCAGTTAGCAAGGTTTTTTTTCCGTTTTTGGTGACAAGACAAATGACATATTGATTATCAAGGACAAATGATTAGTAACTAAATATTTGTATTGTATCTTTAATCTGATTGAACAAATATTAAATTAGTGTAGAACATGAATGTTCATAGTTCCGGTTCTTGTAAGTCCGATGTTCTTGTTTATATTCATTGATTCAATGTAGGAACGAATTTTATCACATTTTGTCTTTTATTCCTTTTTTATTTCTTCTTCATTACTATTGTGACATTATTCTTTCGTTTAAATACAAAAGAACAAAAAAAGACAGAATAGAAGTTTAAACATACAAATCCAGAATATGCTGATGGATTTGATATCAAAAAAGAAAAACGAAGAATAATAATGAATAGTAACAGTATTGATTCGATGAGAAAAATCTCTGATTATATTCGGCATTGGATGGTTAAACAAACATATGAAAGTAAGTGTTTGCTCATTAACTTTTCGAGTTCATTGATTCTGTTTTTTTTGGTTCGATGATGTAATATCATTGAAGAGTTCATTCAATGCACGCGCAGGTATCACCTTTCGGTAGTAGTTTATACATGCTGATTTCACTCCGGCGGTTAGCAAATAAAGTTTTACCTCATCATTTTATTCTCGAGTCAATCCCTAGTTTCGTTCGTTTTATTTGTTACTACTCATATATCAATGACCTCGTGTATAACAGCAGGTAGTATAAAATTGAATTGTTTCTTTTATTTTTAGAAATCTTTATTTAATTGAACAAGCGCATGATGTTGAATTCATTGAATTTTTTGAATGACAATTCTTATTAAAATTTGTTCTCACCTTGAATAATACTTTATCTTATTGTTTAAATAGATCAGGATAAATTTATATTAGAAACTATGCAATGAGCATTAACCTTTTCAAGTTAAGAATAATATATACAATATGAGAAGGTTAGAATCATCTTGCATAGTGTTAAATTTAGTTTTTTTTCTTTCATTCTTTGAAAACTATGAATATTTCAGTTAAACAAATCTATTTATATCTCTATATATATACATGTATACGTATATATGTTGAAAGAGTTGTATACTTGAACTTTGAAGTTTTTTTTGAATCAAAGAAAATAGATCATCCGATACTTTGAACAACAGGCATCTATCACCTTGATTAAGAAGTAAATGGCAATTTATGTTATTTTCTTTTGTCAGCAGTATAGAATCTTATTATGTATGCTCTTATCTTAGTTGCTGATTCTTCCACAAATGCAATATCTCGAAAAAATAAATCCAACGACATTGATCATTATCAAGCAACGAAAACTTGTCAAAATATGAAGTCAATTATTTCATCAAAAACAATCACACCTGATTTTTCTGACATGGAAAGAAATAACATTTATGCTGGAACACCAAAAATGAAACCAACAACACTTAAAAATGAAACAGATCATTATACGACAATGCGTCAACAACGACGACCACCTGTACCACTTCGTACAGATTCAATACGTAGTATTGGTAGTACAACAACTTCATCATTTTCATCACAATCAACAACACCATCAAATTCCTTTCGTCATGAATCAACAGCAATTATGAGTCGTTCAGCTGATGCAACATCATCATATGAATTAATATCACCAATAAAAAATGAAATAAATCAGATGAAATCAAAATCAACTCACGATATTGAAACCTCGATTTTAAATAATCATAATAAATGTTTAAATATGATTACAAATGGAAACTTCGTACCATTACAATCAGTTAAAGAAGATGAGTGTCTTGAAATAGATGATAATAATAATGAAACATATTCAAAGGTAAAACAATTCTTGAAATATTCTTAATTAAAATTTTAAATTAGAAGTTGAAATAGATTTTTTTTCTTAATGAATAACTCGAATTAAAGAAGAAGAAAAAAAGTTAACTAATTATATGACTCTTTACAATGAATGTCTATTTTCTCTTCCTCTCTTGATTTAATTCCTTGGATAATATGTTTCGTGTTTGCCTTTGCTTCAAGAAGTTAGTCATTATGATGAAAGACACTCAAGGGGACACTGTCTTGCCTCATGCGTGCACATATTGTCCATTCATTGTATTGTATTACGTCCTATATTGCATTGGTTCGTTTGATCATTGTCATTATATTCAGCTTCCTGTACATACTCCCTTTCTTTCTCCTCTTTCACCACAATTCTTCATCTTCCCGACCTCTGCTGTGCGGAATTAGTATAGGCCATGGTCGGACAACTGCATACACATATGGAGTACCATTGCTACTGCTCATCAAAAGGAAAGAATAAAGATATTAATGTTTATTTTTTTTTTTTTTTTTGAAGTTGAAAATTCATTTTCAGATTCATCTGCAGCGTCAATGTGTTACTTATACATCCGTTCTTTGTTGCACGTTCCCTCTTTTTTTTACAACATTATCATTTCTTTTTTTTTGAAGAGATGATTGTCGTGTCTGAGCGAGATTTATTTCGACAACTTGTCCGTACCAACTAACGTCAATGTAAGAAGAAGAGAAAAAAAGAAAGAAAGAATATGTAAGAACGAATAGTATAGAGATGTAAAGCCGCCGAATTCATATTATAAATGAGTTGTAATCGGCAAGTAATAGTAACAATCTTCAGTTGACGTCAAAAATTATTGTTCTAAATACTTTTCACATGATAGTATTATCAAGGTAAAAGAATCGCGAGAAGTAAAAGTTCCCTGGAGAAATTCTATCAATCAAAATCAATTGATGGTCATCATTTTGTTGTAAACACTAACCCAAAGCGACAAAGTGATATTGTTAGTTCCACACGATTTATTGAAGGTTTTTCTATCGCCATATTTTATCTATAGCAGTCAGCCGAATGAAATTATTTTTATTTCTCTTCAATATGTAGGAAACATATCTGAGACAATAAGGGAAAAAACTATTAAGAAATCATCTTTATCCAATGATTAATTCTAGTATGTTTATTACATTCCTATTGCATAATATATAGTCCATATATACAATTCACGAGATGATGCTTGAACAGACACATGAGTGGTATGAATAAATAAGAATAGATAGACAGAATATTGCAAAATGTAATTCAAAGATCTTATAATTGTCCAGAGGCAAATGACTGGATATGAATCTGAATTAATTCAATTTTATGAGTGAATGAATTAGGACAAGGAGAAATTTCCTTTCTTTTTTTTTTTTTTGTAGAATGATAATGGACAGCAACATATGCTTAGTGATATACTCAAAAAAAGATTTTCACCGTCAACAGCTTCAGCACCAATGATGGTAACGAAGAAACATTGATTATAATTATTATTATTAATAAAATATTTATTATTTTTAAATAGTCAAGAAATAATTCGTTACATCAACGTTCATCATCAACGGATCCAAATGAAGACGAATTATCAGCAGGATATACCAATAGTAGAAATAAATTTCTTAATTTCTAATTATATATATATATTTCTATGATTAGTTTTCAATCGTAATCATCGTATTCGTTCAAGTCTTCCATTTATAGTTAAACCTGCCGTAAATACATCGAAATTAAATTCACTTGGTGATTAATTCTTTTTAAATTAAAATAAATTCAAGAGCAAAAAAAGTTTTTTTTTCTGTTGGATGTTAGGTCTTTGTTTTTTAATTTGTGGTAATGAAACAAAAAAAGTTCTTCTACCAGCTTATATCTCATGTTTGGATACACTTAAAGCATTATTTGTTCGGTAAAAATTTCTTTTTTCTTTTTTGGGTAGAGAATTTTGTTTATTATTTTTAATAATAGAGCATTTCCACATTATTTGACAATGAAACAAATGGATAGTGATTATATTCGTATTTATATACGTGAATCAAGCAAAGATATATTTTATCAATTAGAAGATATGAGGTAATATAAAAATATCATGAAATGAAAAATGACTTTGTTTTTTGTTTTAATGTAGTGATGTTAAAGATCGTTCTATATTAAAAATTGTTCAATTAAATACCACTACTAATAATAATAATAAACCACATGTTTCTTTTAAAGAACCTGAAATTGATGAATTATCAGGTCCAATTATTAGAAGTGAAATTAATTATCAACGTTTAAATCGTTTTGATCTTACATCATGTACTAATGGATCTATCGAAAATAAATCAAATGATAATTCATCATGTTCTCTTAATGATTTAAGACATGGAACTGTATCTGTTGGTCACACTCAACCAGCTACTAGTAAGTATAAATAAGTCTTTTAATATTTATCTATTATCTTTTTTATTATAGTACTGAAAGGTATATTGTCATCACCAAGAAGTACTTCAACTACACCTCGAAATGATGATGAAGCTGCTCGGTAATGAAAAATCGTTATTCTTCTTTTTTTAAATTGAATGAAGTTTCAATTGAATTGCTGAGAGCAAAGTTGTTTTAAGATCGTCGAATTCTTTTAGTATGAGGGACATGCATATGCATTGTACCAGTTTTTGAGACATCAATTTGTTTCGAAAAAAAAAACAGAATCTCATTCTAAAAGAATTGAATTAATGAGAGAGTCTCTCCAACTAATATCTTCTGTTTCAGTTTATAAATAGTTGTCATAGTTTAGATGAATAGCCGAAAAAAAGTTCATACCCTTAGGGTTTTCTTCTCGAGTTATAACGAAAAAAATCGTAATAAGAAGTTTTCATTTAAACTTTTGCTCGATTAATACATCTCTAGAGCCTTATTACGTTATGACAGTTTCATCTAAAACCAATACTTCTCCTCTGAGATAATATGTTCACAAAAAAAACATAACTGTCTCACGAATATTCCTACAATAGTCCATTTTTCATGCTGTCCCATCTCTTAAGCAATCTCGCGTCTCGTTTCCAGATGTTAAATTCAAATTCTTTTTGCTTCTTGATATAGCTTCGACGTGTCCTATGTCAAATGCACTCTTCGTTGTTAGTTAGTACTTGGATTATATCCAACTTTCTAAATCTCTGACAGAAAATTTGACACTGCGATTATTCTTCATATGTAAAGTTCTTCTTCTGGTAATGATTATTTCTCATTCTAAAGGTGCTTAGAGCATGGGTCATGGACCTCTCACATCATTAAACACGCCCAGTTACTTTAGTTGAAGAGAAAAAAGAAGTTCTAATACATACAGGAAAATTCGTTTTTTCGGCATCACTTTTTACACAAAAAAAGCGCAGCATCGGCTCCATTTCTTCGGCACAATATGTTTGATTGAGCTGAAACTATTTTTTACACCTATTGAGCACTGTTTAGGGTGCCTACGTTTCTTTTTGAAAAATATTACATCGTTAATATTGTAGAAATACGCTTATTATTTTGATCTTTTTATTCGAATGAAAGGAGACAAAAGAAACAAAAAATCACCTCAAACAGTTTTCTTTGTGAAGAAAAAAAGATTCCAGTTCTATTGTACATACTACGACTGAGAAAGCGGAGCAATTTTTAGTCTTTGTAACTCTAATATTTCATAGAAAGTAGTGTTTGAAAATTTGGTGTCGATGACAACTTTTGCTCTACTCATCGAAATCTATCTACCCTGAAAGTTTTAAATATTTCTGTTGAGTCGTTCTTCAAACTCCACGGAAAGGGAAAGAGGCTTAAGAAAAAGCTATCCATTTGAGCTGAAACTTTCAGAATATAATAAATGCCATGAGATCTGCTATCAGATAAAATTTCGAACGAAAGCTCTTTTTATTGCCGTTGTTTTCTTTATATCTTGCTAGATGTTAAAAGTTTAGTAAAATAATCATAATTTAAGAAGAAAAGTCTTAACGGTACGAGTCCTTTTAGAATTTTTATCTAAACTATGAATACTATTTATCAACTCGAACTGCAAGTATCACTTTGAGTGATTATCTCGTAAGTTACAAAGCTGTGATCGATTCAGTTCCAAAAAAAAACACGAATCGATTTCATCATCTTTGATAATTTAGAAACTGATTCTAACACAAAATCAGTTTCTTTTTTTTTCGTACAATACTTTGATTCGATTGAAATGAAGTTTTTAATTTTAGTACTAAAATGGCATCAATGGAAAAACAACTCGAATCATTAACTGAATTAGTTAAAGAATTAACAAATCCAACAAAATCAAAAACTGTATTAGATTTTTATAATAAATCTTTACATCAACAATTACATGAATTAAAAATTAAGACTCATACATTACGTAATGATTTATTCTCAATACGACGTATGCAACAATCATTACAAGAGAATTTTAAAAACGAACTTGAACAAGCAAGCAAAAAAATTCAAGTAAATTATTGATTAAATCATTATAAAGAAAAAAGAAACGTTAATTTTCTTTCTTTTTTCTATAAAGGAACGAGTTGTACGATTAAGTCAAAATGAAAAAATCCGTCAAATTGAAAATGAATTCGATTTATATGTTAAGAATCGTACCAAAATCGATCAAGATCTTGAGTATTAATAAAATATATTTGTTTTTCCTTCCTCATAAAAAAAAAGATTGATTATTTTATCATTAATAGAGATTTAGAAATAACAGTTGAAGAATTTCAACATGATATCAAATTCAAACAATGTTATGCAACAATAAATGACGTCGAAACTTTTGCATTAGTACTTAGTACAATAAGTCGTTCATTAGTCGATTTAAAAAGTAATAAAAACTAAACCTATTTCAATTAAAATGTAAATAAAATATTTTTCTTGTTTTTATTAAAGCTACTTTTCCTGTATTACGTGAAAAGCTTTCTATGGGTAGTCAACAATCAATAATAAAGTAAGTGAAAAAAAAAGATTTATCGTTATGAAGAAACATTGAAAAATGATAAATTGCTTTTGAATGAAGTCTTATATCATTCAATAGGTCCTATTGAGATTAGAAAATTTCGAAAAGAATTCATATCTGTACACCTGTCTAACAAAATGCTTTGATTACTTTCAATTTCGATTTTCGAGTTCAAACTTATTAGAAACAAACTTCTCAATCAGACTAATGTTCGTGCCAGAATTAAAGATGAATGGGTGTATTCTTAGTAAGTCGACAACGACAACACCTAACAATCTGCGATTGTCAGCAATCAAAGGAAGAGAACTTCGGACGTCTCTTTATCAACTATTTATATAAAGCATGGTTGTTTGAAAACTCATCGTCTCCGAAAAATATTCAAAAAAATGCATGAAAATAGTGTTCCATTTCAAGGCACTTTTGATAAAAGGTGAGAAAGTTTGATAAAGATAAGCAGGATTCAATAGAATTTGACTGAATAGAGATGCAATTTTGTTTGCTCTACATTCAGATATGAGAATATAATCAGTTGAATCGTATTTGAAACTATAGATCTGAGTTCTTCTATCTCAAGAACATGCCAAAATCAAAATTAAATTGCAACAGAACACTATTTTCATGCATTTATTTGAATGTTCTTCGGCGATGATGGATTTAAAAAAAAGATTGTCTTATTTAATATTGAATAAAAAACCGTCCAACATTCCCCTCTTGGGATGACTGAAAACCACAGGTCACCAATTTTTACTGTTGTTGAGTTATTGAGCTTACTCTCATCCTCTCCCCTCCCTCGTTAATTCTGTGGCGGACGTTCTTTGATTGTAAGTGTCACTTATCCATATTAACCTTTAAGAGCGAATGACATTCATTGAGAAATTGTTTTGTGTAAAGCTTGAACTCAAAAATCGATTGTGAAGATGATCTCTGGCGAATAGAGTCCTACAGAATTAATTTTTTTGACTAGCAAATATACTTGGATGTGTGCTATTTGTTAATAACAATGTCTCTCTGATGTTTTTTTTAACTCACATCATGCTTTTCGACGAAAAATATAGTGAATGTAACTTTTGAGTCGGCTTTTGTCATTCTACTCCAACCCCCTCACAACAACGGAGATAGAGAAAAGGTCAACAATCATTGTGTACGTTTTCATAGCAACCGAGAAAAATAGTTCCCAGGATCCTTTTCAAGAGTTCCTTGGTAATGGTAATAGATACTAAACGGCTCTAACAACAAGGTTTGCAACGTTCTAGAACATTCCGAAGTATTCCTCAAAACTCAAATGCTGAAGTGTATTAGCGAATGTTCTAAATAGTGCAGTTTTTTTTATTTTTGTGCAGATAAAAATTTAGATTCAAATTATCAAGGATAATGACTATTTACAACAGGCTTATGTGCCAGTAAAATCAATGGTTAGAATAATAATAATAATAATAATAATGTTACACTAAGCAACACGGAAAAAGAAAATGAAAAACAACACACGAACACTACCCAGTGAAAAATATTTACTGATTTTAATCGGATTTTTGTGAAACAAAATCAAAATTAAAATCGATTGATAATTTTGATTATTATTTATCATGACTTAACTATTACGTGATATTGTTACTTATGCCGTACGAAATTTTCCGATTGAAATCGGATTATTTGCAGAAAAATCGAAATTAGTAATCGATTTATAATCTTGATTTTGCTGCAAAATAATCCAATTTCAATCAGAAAATTTCACACTACATAAGTAACAATATCACGTAATAGTTAAGTCATGATAAATAATAATCAAAATTATCAATCGATTTTAATTTTGATTTTGTTTCACAAAAATCCGATTAAAATCAGTAAATATTTTTCACTGGGTAACAAGGCAAACAGAAACTAGAGAACCAATATAAAAAGAAAAAAAATTCTATTCGAAATACAGGGATCAATAAGACACATCGTTTTCCTGTCAATCGATTATCCTTGAAAAACATTTATAGTTTGCTGAAGATTTTTCACTTAATGTATTTGGTATTAGTATAATGTGGCTAAAGTGCATATGTAAGTTTCGCATGTTAGGCTCAAAGGGCTGCGTTGAGAAGCTTTTGTCTTTCTGAGATTTATGAATCTATAAAATTGTGTATTTTTTGTCCATTACTTAATATATGAAAAATAACCTTGTTACTATGTCAGAGTAAAAGCATGTGACTGTTTTACTGATATAAATTCGAAATTGACTCTAGAAAAATTCTTCACCCTGACATCGAGGAGTTTCGTAGTTTGATGTAGGGCGTCCTAATAGGCCTTATGTAATAAGACATGACTTGTTTGAAAAGCGATTTATAACTTAATGAAATGGCTTCATTAGAAATAATTTTCTTTTATTAGATTTTTACATGATGAACCAGAACGTCTTGATTATACAATTAAAAAATGTAAACGTTTGACAACAATGCTTTATCAACTAAAACAGTAACTTTTTGATAATGTTTAAAATAGAAATAAAAAATTTTCATTTTAGATTAGCAAGTAATCAAGAACATAAATCATCAAGAAAATTTTCATTGAAAATAAATGAAAAATTAGTTGATCGAAAACGTTTATTAGAAGAAATTCAAACGGTTACATTAAATTCTGAAGGAAGAATTAAAGCTATTGAAGTTTGTGATTTTTTTTGTCTTATTTATCATAATACATTTTTTCTTGATTTTTTCTTTGTCTTTAGAAAGCAGAAAAATTACGACAATGTCGTTTACATTATGAAAATCAATTAGAAAATCTTAAACAAATGAAATCTACTTGTGATCAAGTAAAACTTAATACTATATGTTGTTTTGTTTTTCAATATAAATTTTTTTTAGATTAATGGATACTTCGATAATCGAAGTTTGACAAATTCTTTAAGTACTCGAACAAGTATATGTTCAACTGATTCGAACAATTGTTCATCTCCTTCATCATCATATGTTCTTCGTCAAGCATTAATAACTTCACCAATAACAAATGATTCTAAGACTCATTTACAATCATCTATAAAACCAACATCAAAAGTAACATTTTCTCAACAATTAATAACAAATGATAAATCTTTATTCATAAATAAAAAACCTAAACCAAATCCTCCACCACGTATTCAAAATACACCATCATCATCAATTATATCAACTGCATCATCAAGTTCATCATCATCGACAAGTGGAAATTCACGTTTTTGTGGTATTATACCATTATTATCAGTAGATCGTCGTCTTAATGGACGATGTTATTCATTTTCATCATCAAGTACTGATACAGATTCAAATATATCAAATTCTCATAAACCAACAAAATTAATTAATACAATATCTCATCAGACAACATTAATGCGTGCTTCTGTTACTGATTTGTAGTCAGGTTTTTTTCTTCTTCTTTTTTTATTGTAAATAGTTTGATTCTTGATTTTCTTTTTCTTATGGTTATTAAAAGTCAACCCTATCATTTAAATGTTGCATATAAACGAAGAAAACCAATCAAGCGAAACATGATGAGGAATATGTTTGTATGATCATTTTCTTTCTTCAACTTTTTTTTCTTCAAACAAGACAAACCACTACATGGGGGCGCTACTAAGGTGAGTCATATAATTATAGTGTTCTGTCAAGGACAGAGAGAAAACACTATAGATGATAAGTAAATAAAATAAATATAGAACGTAAGCGTATGTGACAGTTTGAATAAGGATTATAATCGCATACTTGAAAAACAACCACGAAATCCTATCGGCCTATCGAAATTCGGCGTACAAGATAATTTAGAACAGCATCCTCTTGTTGGCACACTTTCGGTAAATGTTTGTATTTTAAATTAAATTAAAATGTATAATTCTAATGAATAGATTCCTGATCCTGTACGTTTTTCTCCATTGCAAAAACAAACTCCGGACTCTTCTAATGAATCATCACATTCTCAATTAGATCAGACACCAATACAGGTGATGATTGGTTTCTTTTTTGCTCGATTGTATAGAAATTTTGTATAGTCTCTTCAACCAACAAATCTCTCACCTGTAATCGATAATCAAATACAACAGGAACAATCTCCACCAGAAAAACAATTAATTATCCGAAATCCTTCATACTTTTTACAATCTAATTTTCAAATGTATAATCAAAAAATGAATAATGATGCTCATGTAATAGCTCGTTCTGTTATTAATTTCAACAATCATCAACGACTCAATAAATATCAATTATCACCACTTCGACCTAATCGTACGATAATTGAATATAATGGGAAACAATTTCTAACAGAATTAAGAGAACGTATGGAACAACGTTTTGTAGAAATTTTTGATGAATATACAGGTCAAATGAGACTATTTGAAGTTACAGATTATATACCAACTAGAATAATACGATCAATAACGGGTAAACCTCAATCTCAAATACAAAGAAAAGCCCTATTCAATCGTGTACCTCCAAGAGTTCCTTTAAACCAAAATTCTAGACGTCTTCCTATGGCAAGTGATCGAAAACAAGCACCACCACCATCGAATCTCGTTGATTTCAAAGATTTAAGTAAGCATTTGAATGTCTTGACAGATGTTTTTTCTTTCAAAATTTTTATTTAATAGATAACCGTAAAACTCTCGCACGTGAATTTGATCAATACCATAGTGGTGCTGGATTACCAGTCAATAATAATAATAACACTAATAGTGCACCTCCTCGAATTTCATCTCAAAGACACGCAACAAAATATGATCCAAGGAATTCAAGTTCTTCTTCTTCTTCTTCTTCTTCAGACAATTCTCAACCTAATGCAACAAATTCGTTTCCAACATCTTCACGAAATGTACCTGGTGAATATTCTTCTGGATCATCTCGTTCACAAGCACCGTCATTCCATCCACATAGTCCAACTGCTGATAGTTATAGTATAAACTCATCTGATACTAATTCTAGCAGTAAATATTAATTTATCTAATGAAATATATAAAAGAAAAATTTCTTTCTAGCTTCATATGATGATTCAGACAGTGAAGCCATTGATCGAACATTACCATCATATAATAGAAATGCTCAAAGTAATCGAAATAATACAAACACTTCTTATGGAACGACTAGTGGATATAATTCACCAACACAATTTGATCCATTTGCAAGAACAGTGAGTACAGGTGATCATCATTATGCAAAACGACCCGGTGTTAACAAGTATGTTAGAAAGTCTTTGTTTTTTAATAAGTCAATGTTGTTTTCTGTTATTAGTTATTCACAACCGATAATAAATAATCGAGGATTTCAACAAAGTACTGCTTCTGATTACGCACCTATTCCAACGGGTCATAAGCAATCGAGTTTGTTTTATTAAAAAAACCTTTCGTTTTCGTTTTTATCATATTTTTTTTATCATAGATCGAAATCAATATTCTCCTGGAGATTCGGATGCCTATGATGGTTAAGAAATAATTTCAATTTTTTCAGTTTTTTATGGAACAAACTTCATTTTTTTTCTAAATTGATATCGTATTTTATTTTTGTTTTTCTTGTAAATTACTGTAACATTGATTTTTCAATTTTTTTCGAGTATCATTGACATCCATTATAACTTCATTGGACTATTGAGTTATTTAATATGCATCAATGATTTTATATTTGTAAAAATATGATTATTTTTTCTAATTTTTATTAACATGCCGTGGAAATATTTGATATGATGTTTCTTTGTGAGTTATTTTCTTCGTTAGCAAGTTTTTGATGGTATCAAGATATTATATGAAATATCCGTCAAAGACAGGGATGTAGCAAAGAAAAAGCAGTGAGAGCGAACAACGGAGCGCAAGAAAATTTTTTGAGAGTTTGAAAAGGCACATATACAACTTTTTAAAAGTGAACGAGTGCTGAACTTTTTTCATTTTATGATGTTGTTTTAATAAAAAATACGAAGTTGGTTGAAAAAAATTGAAAATCTTCTACAATTAAGGAAGATCGGGCTGACATTCCTAGAGTTTGTAGCTATTGTATTATGCACTATGTGTTTGGGCTCCCAGAAGGATAAATCTAAGTAAAAGATTAATGCTTTGATTTTCAATGTAATCCAAATATTGACAGTGCAGGAGTTCCCTCTGAGATAATAAACTGGCAGTGCTTAAGAGAGCGGTGCCACTTCGAATATGGGGTTAGTGTTGTCGGATTTTGTGCTTACTATACTATGTGCCTGTGCTTGGAAAAATATGATTCCGCTCTCCCGGAGTTTTAAATCATTCCTCTCAGAAAGAGAAAATTTAGATAAAATATTATGAAATGGAATTATATTGAAATGCTACATTTACTTGAATGCCCTAATTTTCATCAATAGTTTGACGTTAGTTAATTGGGGGCATCCTCGTCCTCACTGTTCAGATTGTATTTGATGATCAAGCAAATTTAGAAATTCAATAGAATTCTATTCTTATCGTTCTTTTGCTAGATTGACTTGAATTTCTTCGATGTATGATTATGCTGAGTTATAAGTTTATGTGAAATCTTAAAGAATTTCCTTGATTTTTTAATTCATGGACAGTAAGTATTGTTGTAATGAGTGAACAATATATATCGTATAACAACATATGTCTCACTGAGTAGAGTACAAAATACGAGGAGTTATGTCCAAATCAGTGAGCAAGATAAGCAAAGACAGGACACAGGATAGTGCAGAATGTATAAACTGGTCTAGCCATCTTATCCGCTTTATAGATAATCTTAATGAAATGTAGCACATATTTTCCACATTGAAAACAATAGTAGACGATATTTGAAAAATGGCAGTGATGATAGGAAGGTTAATATAAAATATATTTACTACTTCAATTAATATTCGACTATAGAATCCACAACAGATCTAAGCGAAAACTAAATCCATTAATAGATTGAGAAAAAAAAAGAATGAAAAAGAAAATTTTTAATTCTCATTTGATATCAGTCAGTTCTGTAAGTAACAGAAACTAATGCTGTAGAGTATTACTAATTATATATACAAATGAGAAAATCTTCATGCTAAACAATGCAACTAGATCTTCTTTATATTGTTTCTTCAGTGAATTATTCTTTAAGAAAATATTCATATTATTTATAAACAAAGTCAAGTATGAAAATCAGAAGTTGCTTTGTTTCACATGATGTCTTATGTAGCAACACAGAGTAGGACAAATAAAGTTGTTCTATAATCAAAAATTCAATGATTTTGGATGACATCTACTGAAAGATTTATAGCTAAACCAATCGTTTATTAAATGCATTTGCATAACGATTAAAAAGGAATGCTTTAATTTTTTCCGCATTATTTATTCAATATATATACATAATTAGTTCAATGCTTTTAAACAAATACTGATCTTCTATTTTCATTATCTTCTAAATCTTAATAAATCATTTTTTTTTGTTTTTAATGAATTGATTTAAATAAATATAATTTACTTTGTTTTTCTTTAATTCTACTACATTTCTTTGTTGGTTTTGTTTTAGATATTAATTTTAATCAGAAACAAAAACAATGCTTTGTGATTTTAATCCATGTCGACCATGTTGGGATACAATTAATGATAAAGACGATTTTAATATTAATCATTCATATAAAAATCATACAATTAGCCCATTAGAAACTGAAGCTGAACGAAATATTCGTACACGTACAGTGTTAGTTTTGACGAAGTATTTTCTTATGAATAATCATATTAAGTTCATTTTAATAGTACACCCATCGTTACTGGTTCATCTGTTGCTGCATTTACTTTCAATGGTGGTGTTATTTTAGCTGCTGATACTCTTGGTTCATATGGTTCATTAGCTAAATATCGTAATATTCCACGTATTCATCAAGTTAATGAGAGAACTGTCCTTGCACTTGGTGGAGATTTATCTGATGCTGATTATATAAAAGAAGCTGTTGATACTAAAGTGTAAGTGAAATAATCTTAGATATTTTTCGTCTATTATGATATGTAAATTTTTGAAGCGAACAAGATATTGTTCAAGAAGATGGAGGAGAAATGACACCATTAGCTCTTTATGCTTGGTCTACAAGATTTATGTATCATCGAAGAACTAAATTAAATCCATTATTAACAAGTGTTATTGTAGCAGGAATGGAAAATAACGAACCGTACGTATGAAGAATTTTTTAGACAAAAAAAACTAATTAATTTGATTACTTGTAGATTTCTTGGACGTGTCAATGATAAAGGTTCAGCATTTAAAGAATTTTTAATTATCACTGGTATTGGTACCCATTTAGCTCAAGTAATTCAATGATTTCTAAGATAACTGTCTTTTTCTATGATTGATTTTTTTTCTAGGGTTGGATACGAACGATACTTGAAACTTCTAATCAACTTAATAAAGAACAAGCTGAACAGTTAATGGATCGAATTATTAAACAACTTTATTATCGTGATTGTCGAGCATTTGCTCGTGTAAGTTAATTTTATTGATAGTTTTCTTTTCTTTACCTTTTTTTTTCTCGGTCTTTTTTCTTTTTAGTATCAAGTTTGTATTGTTACAAATAATGGCGTGGAATTTAAAGCTAAAGAAGTTCAACCTGATTGGAGTCTTGCACCATTACTGTCAGTTACCTTATTTCTTTCGTTATTTTCTACTGATTGTTTAGCTTGTTTTTTTTTTCTATTCTAGTCGAAACACAGAATGATCTATCAAAGAATAAAATGACAACATAAACAAGCTTTTCATTCATATGTTGTTACTATATACTTCTTCCTTATGTTGTTGTTTATTATCATTCTAAATATATTTTAAAACTTATTTTATTTTTTCTATAATTTTCTTATCATAGATAATAATATCTCAAAGCAAAATATTATTATCAACAAGTAAAATCAATCATGATTGAGATGTGAGTTATGAATGATGTAATCATCAATCAGTGTACTGGTTCGTTGTTGGATAATCACTTTGATGCTTCTGATTATGTTATGCTAATATTTTGACTAATGGACTGATTAAAAATAGATAGTTTATGGAAAACAAAAGTTATGATTTGTTTAACACTTATGGGAATATAAGAAATCATTTATACCTAACCGACATATTTTTTGTTCTTATCATAACTGTTAATTATTTCCGAATAATCGCTTTGCTTTCTTCATTTCAACCATATTAAGCTATATCTGAACATTTTCTCATCATGTCTAACAAATAAAATATTATATCCATGTAACAAATATTTCATAGTATATAAACCGCTAATTGATTATAAAAATTTAATTTTCTGTTCATCTTTTGTTCCGTCTATTATGTTGAAACAGTTTGCCTCTTGAGAATCAGATCCTTCCGAGTTCAATTGATTTTAATTCTTCTAGTAATAAAAAGTGAACGTGTCAAGTATCTTTTTTTCTTAGTTTTTTTTTTTAATCCATTTCGTTGCTATTAGCAATCTTATTTTTTCATAGATTACAAAATTGACCATTCTCTTTCAACGCATTAAATAAAAAAGAAAACAAGAAAATACGTTCAATCAAAAATATGTGCTCTTCTTATCGATTAGTCTATTGTTTTGTATTATATCCATCTATTCATGAGGATAAGAGTAACCGGATATACATCATCATAGTAGCAATCAATGAGTTGATGCATCACGTATCTAAAACAAAAGATATATAATTATTTTTCTTTATACGCCCTCTCATTTAAAAAAGATTTTATTATGAATCACATATGTTTTTTTTTCTTCTCATTTTTTGATTAGTCAGGTAAGACAACACATTATGACGGCACGCGTCGATCTCTTTCTTCTTCTTTTTCTTTGCTTTTTTTTTTGTATTTTACTCTTCTCAACTCGACCCTCACAATGCCCTTCTGTCTCTAGAATAGTTCATCGAAAAGAAGAGAGGAAGAGGAAGAATAGAGAATGACCGTTTGACCGGTTCAATATTAGTTTCAGTATATTGGTCGATAGACACAAGAAAGAAGAACACTTATTCGTTTTTTTCTTTTTTTTTTTACCATTGACATTAATTGGGACGGCGGCTGCTGACCTATTTTCGTACCCCATGCACATCTGTTAAATTCATATCATATCAAATTTATTTGTAATATGATTCATATTCTTTTTTTTTTCTAGATAGATCGACATTTGTTTTTTGTTTGAACTAAATTAAAAAAACAATAACAATGTTCAAATTTAAACTTGGTCGAAAACAACCCGAAGAAAATGAAACACGTCGACGTCTTCAAAAAGAATCATTTGGCTTTAATAAAATATGTGATCGAGGTTTTCCATCACGTCCATCAGCAATTGCTTATGATTCTCAATTAAAACTAATTGCTATTGGTACACATACAGGAGAAATTCGAATGTAAGTTTTATTGTTACCTCATTCTTTTCTTTGTTTATATTTGTTTTTTGTATAGTTATGGTCAACCAAATTTTCAATTATCATATAATCTTAATACATCATCAATTCGTAAA